AGCTCATAAAAAAGACTCATTTACCGTAATAAAAGGAAATCCACCTCAAACTCTACTTCTATGTAAGAGCAAAACAAGCACATAAGCCTTAAATGCAAAAAGGTAGTACTTTATAAGATACACACCAGCCAAAAGCCACCAGTTACATGGGATTGGAGCATCGGTTTTACCAAAGTGGGATAGCCACTCTCCAGAGAGGATTCAAGTTTCTCTGCCTTTTCAATTGCCCAGGCCCTTGCTTCATCAGAGGCGTAAACCCTATTGGACAAATCCCTTTTTGGATGAACAGTGCTGCATAAAAATTAAGAAACTGTTGATTAAGCCCTTCTACTATTAGGCCACAAAAGTGCAATGTGTCTGCAAAAAGATTGAAATTTCGAGAAATCACAGCCCAAAGTTGCAATCTTTTACCTTCTAGGCAATTGCACACGCTCGTAAAAGACAACCTGTTTGCAGGAAGAGATTACACATTAAAAATCCTTCAATCACAGCAAATAACAACTCAAGAAGAACACAAAAACGTTGGGTTATATCTGTTGAGGGTGATAAAACAAAAGGAAGAGAAGCAACGAGATAGGACAGGCTACTTACTTCTTTGTATTGAGGAGCAGGCTTGTTTGTGAAACGGCCTGATCTTCTCACGGGGACAAGCTCTGTTCGGATTGTTCGAGGTTTGACCCTCTTCATCTTTAATTTGAACGAGAAAATTGTAAACAAGCCAGGTTTTAGAACGCAGTAACAAAAAAAGAAACTCTTTTTTTTTTTTCCTTGGCAAGACAATAACATAAAGTAAGGAGCTTGAGAACGATTATACAACAGGAGAAGTTTTGGGAGACAAGGCAGCTTTTTGAAGGGCTTGAGATAGCAGAGGAAGATGAAGCTTTTCCAGTTTCTTCTTGTTTTCTTCCATCCTCTGCTGCCGCAACTGCTCATACTTCACCTTGGATTTCACCATTTCTGCCCCAAAGCTTTTATACCGTTTGAGATGGAATTTCCCTTTTTTCAAAGCTTTTTAGAGAATAAAGGAAGCTGAGAGCTTTTAGAGGATGAGCAGACAGAGAGAAAAGAGAGACAAACGAAAGAGGAGCTGAAAAAATGCAACATTCCTTTGCTATTCCCGCTACTAAGCAGGGCTAGTGCGGTAGTTATTCAAAATGGGATTCCAACGGTCGACTCTTTTTAAGTCTTAGCTCTCTTACTCCGCTCTGGTTATCACTTGCCACTTGCTTGGGGGTTGTACACTCACACAACAGGGGTAATACCTAATTAAATCTTTTCTTCATGATACTTTGACTAGAAAATGGGAAAATGTTTAAATTTATGTTTATTTACTTGAGGTCTTCTCAAGGTACAAAGCATATTTGTCATTGATTTAACTGATTTTTGAGTTTTATATATTTTAAAAAAAAATTTGGTTCAATTGTAATATTTTTTGTCCAAACCAATGGCACGAACACTGATAAGGTGCTCCCAATTTCATTACCAACTCTAAATTTTTTTTGGCATGACAAATAAGGACCGCATACGTTGAAATTCTAAAAGCAAGGGACCAAATTAGTCATTGTTCCTCGTCTAATTTAGCAATGGATTGCTTTGTTAATTCTCCTCAATTTCCAATCTAAGATCCTATATTGATCACATTTTATAAAGATGAAGGACCGAGCTGGCTGGTGGTTATCAAAGAGGAATCCATTGACCAAAGTCCCCAATATATAATAAGACCAACAAAGACGTACTATGCCTAGCTTAAAAGAAGTCGGTGGTGATTTTGTTTACGTAAAACTAACTTAATCTATGAGAATAAGAACTGATGACAGAAGTGTAAAAATCTTATACACACTGACAGTGTATATACTATCATCGTTGGATTCATGACATGTGTGCAAAAATTGAATTTTAAATATAAATTTTGCATAGTTGTTATTCATCCAAACGCTAACAGTAGACATTTTGTTTACACGTCATGCAATCCAAAGAGAGAAATGAAACAAATAGAAAATGCAAGATCACTCTTTCGTACGGAAACAAAGAAAATGAAAGAAATGCATAATCACTCTCAAGCTGCTAACAGTTTAAACGATCCAAATACTTCCATTGGAAGAACAAAAGCTTGATATCTTTTGTAGCCATTGAATGAAGTGCCTACACATAGAGAACTGCGATCTTGAAACAAAGTCTAGATCAAAATCCTTCTAATACTTTATTAAGTTTGATCTCTTCAACCAGGGAAGCACCTCTGTTAGACCCTCTTCCAGGCTCCTGGGGCTATAGTTTAGCTCTACCCTGGCCTTCTCGCAAGAGTAAGCCCACTGATGTCTTAGCACGTGCACCGTCTGTTCAAGATGGAGAATAAATGGATCATCACAAACCACATTCAGACCAAAGGGAGAGAGTTTTAGGACTTCGTAGGAGCAGCAAAACAAAACCGAAAGAAATAAAATTGCAACTCCAGCAAGATACCCTGACCAAAGGTAAAAGGTGAAGATCTCGAATGGTTTGCTTCTGATTTCGTATAAAGCAGGTGCAAAACGCACAACATATTCTGTGCACAAAGACAAGCTGGAACTATCCCAGCTCGAAAACAACTACGGGTGTTGGAAGTTGCAGAATACACAATTTGCTTCTTATCCTTGGAAACAAGACAATAAAGTATAGAAATCGATGGCTAATAGCATAACAGGAAAGATATAAGCATATCAGTCTACAAAAAGCTTCCAAATACTAGTATGAGGGACAGGTTACGTACCGGCGGACTGATAAGGGGAAGCTTTCCTGTTAGTCTAGAGCAAAGAACCAAGAGCCAGCCATAAGCTTCAATTGCAAACAGAGGGATACCAAATTGGGGTTTGTTTGTGCGACTGATGGTTGCAGCTAAATCAAAAACATGCTTGAATGACGCATTTTCCCCTGTAAGAAGATACCTTTCACCCGGCCTTCCCTTGTTCATGGTCGCAATATGCCCCCCCACCACATCGTCAACATGACTGAAAGAGAACCTGTCATTCCCCTCCCCAATAAAACCAGGTAAACGCCAGTTAAACCGTTCTATAATCTGCCAAGATCAACAAACAACAATTAAAAGTCAATCCTATAAAACTCCCCAGTTCATTTAGCATAAAAGCATTCAGCAGCAACTATTTTTGAATTGTGAAAATGGGATATAATATTTCAATCACAATTAGTTGCTACTTCATCTGAGTAAAGGCTACAACTTTACATCAAATCAAAGTATCAAATTAACTTGGCTCTTAAGAATGATGAAGAGAAGAAACAAAAATAGTACAATAAGAATCCCGAAACAATAAACGGCCAAGTAGTAGTAGTACAAAATTTTATTTTTACCAAACGGGCAACTACATTTCCAGCAGTAACTTTTCCAGGACCATATATAACTCCAGGATAAACCGGCACTATTGGAACTCCCTCCGATGAGGCTGCCTCCAAAGCAATCTTATCTGCCATGGCTTTCGATTTCTCATATTCCGTGCAAAAGTATTTCCCTGAATGAATCTATCATAGCAAAATTCAACCATAACTAAAAAGATATTGTCTCTATCAAAACTAAAGCAAGACTTGATATAAATTGAAAAAAAAAAAAAAGAGGATAAAATGAAAACGGGTCAGGGAACTTTTTTCCATACTTGACTTTCATCAGCAACATATCCATCAGTTGATCCCAAAGCGAAAAACGATGACGTGTATATAATCTTCTCTATGGATCCTCCTGTATCTTTATATGCTTGTAGTACGTTCTTTAGTCCTCCAACATTGACCTATTTTTCGGGGGAAAAAATGGCAGAATTAGCAAAAGTTAACAATTTTTTTCTTGGGGGGCGGCGCTGAGGATTAAGCTTACGGAGACGAATCTAGAAGGGTCTGGAAGCCAGGGTTCGACGAGGGCAGCAGCGTGGAAGATGACATGGCAATCAGAACAAGCGTCCAGGAGTGAAGGGTAGTCAGTGACGTCTCCGTAGGCGAGTTCTAAAGCTCCGCCGTGGTCTGTGCTGTCAGTGGTTGGGGAGGGTAGGCAGGACAGATCGCTGGTACGGCGGACGAAGGCCTTGACGTGGTGGCCTTGGTCGAGTAAAGCGTGGCAGAGGCGTCCACCTAAGTAACCGGAAGCCCCGGTCACCAATACTATCTTCTTCATTTTGTGTGGAGATATCCGCGAACCAGAGTGGCAAAAGTCAAACGAGTTATGGATAGAGGCGTGTTGTGTACTCGTGTCCTAAAACTTTTGGCAGTTTTGACAAAAAAAAAAAAAAAAAAAAATTTCTTCCTACTTCGCTGTCCATCATTTAAAGTCAACCTTTGCAGAACAGAGCAAACTAGGGTAGATTCAGATTTCATGCTCCAAATATATATTTTAGCTTGTGTTTGGATTATAATTTTTTAAAATTTTTATAAAAAATATATTATAACGATTTAATATATATAAAATAAAAAAATGAACAAAATAATGTTCACAAAAAACGTAAACATTTTTTCATAAAAAATTTCTTTCCAAAGAAGACGCTTATTTCAATAAATTAGAAAAAAAAATGAAAAAAAAGGGTCGATCATAGAAGGACAAAAAGATTATTTAGTACCTTTTTAATTATCTCTGAATGTCACACTACTATCCTTAGGTGGAAGATTAATTAGCCATAGGATACTCAATTCCAATCAAATCTTGAAAAATAATAATGATTAACATTCCAACTTTGTCTTTATTTTAACTAGAAAAGTATGATATTTAGAATTCGCATCCAACCTCTTGAAATAAGAAAAAAGGTTTAGAAATCAGTCAAATCACAGAAGATCAAATCACATGTCTAGACCCAAATTCAACTCAAAAAACATAAAAACATTGCAGGAGCTAAAACAACATGATGATTGTACCAACAAATCCCAAAATTTCAAAAGTGTGGGCTTTGGGCTTTGGGCTTTGGGAGCCTTGCACGCCATTTTTTTTTGTAGAGGTGAAACTAGAAAAGCTGCTTGTTATCACTTCACAGTCTTTTTGACTTTTTTAGAGTATTAAGCGAAGGGCCAAAAACAAACCTCACCAGCTCCCCCATTCTCACGTCTCGTTGTCGCTTCGTTCTTCGTTTCCCCGAAAAATCAAAGCTTTTTTTGCTCGTCTCCAATATGTTATTTGTCTAACGCACAATTGATTGTGTGCTTTGACTTGTTTTCTCATCTGGGATTTGGGTTTCATTTTTGAGGAAAGGAAAGCAGAGGAAAGAAGATGTGGGGATTTGGAGGGAGATACTATTGGGGAAGAAAGGAAAGAGGGCGAGACGTGGAAGGAATAGTTGTGGTATTTGCATGGATGTCAAGTCAGGAGCGGCACTTGAAGAACTATGTTGATCTCTACTCTTCCCTTGGCTGGAATTCTCTTATTTGTCATTCTCAATTCCTCAATATGTGAGCTCTTTATACTCTTTTGCTTTGCAATCGAAGTTCTGTTTCTGATTTTCGCTTTCTTTCCTTTATAACTTCGTTTTTGTGGGATTAGTCTTCTCTTTAGTTTGCGGCTGCAGGTGAAAGTTGGGATTTTTATGGGTTGTTCTGTTTGTATTTTTTGGTCTGTTCGTATTTTTTGCCGACATTCTGTTGGGATAAGGTTTTTTCCTTAAAGGATATTTACCATGATATTTTTATTCTAAACTTTTATGGCGCCACAGAGCCTTAGGAAGCTAACATTCCCGATATTTTTCTGTGGGATTTTGATCAGAGTGATCATCATGTTTTGCTTTTTATCCATTTCTTTTGTTAATCTTTTTCTTCCTGCCAAATTTGTATGTTTTCCATGAGCGACCAATGTACCTCGTAAGTTTTTTCTTTATGCTGCTTGGATCATTGAGCCTAAGGGAATCGTAACGGTGTATTTTAGTAGAAGGAATTGGTTTGCTTTTAGATGTTGATTAGCAATTCGTGCATTGATAGCTCAACTGAGGAACTTCTGTACTCCTTGAGACAATTAATTGGTATTACTCATTGAGGCTAGATGTTGCAAACGGTATTATTGTTGGGACAGCAGACGTTTCGATCTTGTAGTACTCAATGATGGATCAACAACATAAAGCTTTGTTTTTCTTGCAGGTTCTTTCCTGATAAGGCAGTTTCATTGGCACTACAGATTGTTGGTGAACTTGTCAAGGTAATTTGTATTAAACTTTACAAGGTGCATCTGCATTTTATTGCATAGTTGTTGTTTTAACAAGCGCTTTGTTTGTTTTGTTATTTTTATGCAGGAGCTTAAAATAAGACCATGCCCAGTTGTCTTTGCATCTTTTTCTGGTGGTCCAAAAGCCTGTATGTACAAGGTTCTTCAGGTAATCTTGTCAGGAAAACTGATTTGCAAACCACTTCTTTTTTACACACGCCAAAAAAAAAAAATTTAAGCGAAAAGATAAAGAAGCAAAGAGGAAGACATCCTGTTTGTTGGATAATTGACATGTTATTTGCTCAAAAAAAAGGGCATGATATTCTTCTATTCGACTGTATGAACCATTGTGTACATAAAACTTTTTTCTTTCGACTGCAGATTATTGCGAGCAAGTCTGAGGAACAATTGAATATGGTATTTTTCTTCTTTCCCTTGTTATCCTTTACATACATTTGATAGTGTTGTCTGTTAATTGTTAATTCACCTATCCAAGTAAAATGGATATCAAGAGCTTTCCTGCTTGTAATGACTTGGTTGCAAACAGGGTAATAACTCCACATGTTTTTGTTTGATGACTGACGATTGTAATACTCATGATGTGCAAACTTTATCAATTAGCACTATAAAACTTGAAGCTGGGTTTATTAATCTTGTTATACTTGTCATGCAGGATGAGCACCAACTGGTTAGAGATTGTGTTTCTGGGTTCATTTTTGACTCTAGCCCAGTTGATTTCACTAGTGACTTGGGTACGAGATTTGTTCTTCATCCAACTGTTCTCAGAATGTCCCATCCTCCAGTCCTGGCTGCTTGGGTTGCAAAAGGAATTGCTTCCAGCCTGGATGCCCTCTTCCTTAGCAGATTTGAATCGCAACGTGCCGAGTATTGGCAGACGCTGTATGCCACTGTAGTAAGTATCAATTTACTTATTGGTGCTACAGCCTCTCTCTCTCTCTCTCTCTCTCTCTCCCTCTCTCTCTCATGGTCCTTTACTATTATCCTTGTGCAGAGCATGGGTGCTCCATATCTCATTTTATGCTCAGAAGATGATGATCTTGCACCTTATCCAATTATTTGCAATTTTGCTCAACGGCTACAAGAACTTAGGGGTGATGTCAAGTTGGTCAAATGGAAAAGCTCCCCTCATGTCGGTATGCACCTATGCTACTAGTATTTTTTCCTTGCTAACATGTTGACATTGACTGCCATAAGGTTCTACAGAGTTTTGGTTGCGTCTAGCTGGATTTGGGAATTAACCTAGAAGCAATCAATCATTGTATTTGCTTTCCTGATTGCTAGAACACTAAATTGGAGGACTATGCTAATTTTGTGCTATTGTAAATTGCCCATCATTTATAGCGTGCTTCTGGATGAGTCATCACAATGGAGGGAATTTTATGTAACGTAAGGGAAGTTAAAGATTCCTTAAGAAAGGAGTTTCATATGCTATAAGAACAAGACATTGCTATTTTAGAATTTGAAAGAAGCTGTATGTACTGATTTGACCTGTTGCATCTTGTATCTTTTGCTATTCCATGTGGAGCAACAGGAGGAGGAACAGCATTTTAGCTTTTTGTGGTCAACAATGAATAACATTTGTAGCTTGTGTATTAATTTGTATCCAGAATTTGGGAACATGGGCGTATTTCCTGTTCTTTTTGATCTTTTAGTTCCTGAATCTTGGAAAGATGCAAATTTGATAGGTGCTATGTGCTCTTGACCTAGGTCATTATCGCCATTATTTATCAGAATACAAGGCTGCCGTGACTCAGCTACTTGCCAAAGCTGCTGTTAGTTATTCCAAACAAATTCGGCAGCTTGAAGGAGAGAAGATGGGCTTAGAGGGAACAAATGATGACATCTCTGAGCCATTTTGCAACCTGAGAAAGGCAGCAGCCAGTTCACAACAGAGCTTCCAAAGAATTGCCCTCGAGTTGAATGACCACTTCTTGGTGCCCAGCTCTGCAGAGTATCACGAGGGTAGAGATGTTGGATCTGTGCAGGATGAACGCAAGGAACGATATATCCCTCTATCGAGCCCTCCGAGCATGAATGCTCACGGTGTTCTTGGACAATTTCTCTTTGACGTATGTGTCCCAAAGAATGTTGATAACTGGGATGTCAAATTATCTCCCTCGACAAGCAGGGTATCTTTTACATCTTCACGAAGGCATTCACCTTTCAACCCCATGAAATGCATTCGTCGTTCAAGATTATAATATCCCTATTTGGTACTCTGCTGGGAGCTCTCAGATAATTAGATGGACCAATCAGGGTCTTCAAACTCTCCTGGAAAGTGCTGTGCGGTGTACATTGACAGGCTATAATTTATAATGGAGTTGTGCAATAGAGATGGACGTTTGCTGAAGTTTTTCTCTGCTCCTACTTCAGTTGGGGGTATTAAGGTGCAGCTGTGTGTTAGTCATGGCAGACTCTTTTCTGACAGCAAGTGTACAGCTAAGGCACTACTATGACTTCGAATCATAGAAGTACCTTTTTTGTTTAACCCGAATTATAGAGGTTGAGGCATTGTATAAAGAATAAGGAGCAACGTCGACTTTCCTGATTCCTCATTCCAGTTTTGGTTGTCTTGAACCTTTTGATTCTGCAAGACGGTGGTCAATTTCAAAATAGGTTTGCATGCCCGTGAAGGCATGACTCGTGAGTGTATGGTAGGATTAAGCGTGCTAGCTTTACATTTCAAGGCTATTAGGGCAGTTAATAACAACATTTATGTTTTAACTTGATTATTGAGATGCTTAAAACACTTTGGTAAGCAAAACTATTTACTTTTTAGGGCAGAACTATCCAATCCATTCCATTGTATGGGAGTCAAATTTCCTTCTTATAAGAGAATTAAAATCCTTGAGGACTCCGGGATGTTAATTTCCTTGATGATGTATCTGTTTTTTCAGTCATTAGCTAACAAATAATAATTTATATAGGCTCGGTTGGCTAAACAAAAATTAAATATTATCATACTACAAGATGAGGAAGCACAATTGTGGATGACTACACGTTACACTCTACTATTTTATTCTTATCTTATTGGTGACGTTGAACACAGACATTTCATTGCTTCCACGACGGAGTTGAATTTCAGAACTCAAAATAGCTTCTACACAAATCATTTCATTTCAGTTTTTGAGAACGTGAATGGAAATGGAATTTGGATTTATGGATGTTGATCTTGATTTTATTGCACCTGACTAGTGCTTGCCCCCAGTTTACTGTCAAGAAGTTAATTATGCTTATACCCCAGGTGATCTCGGGAGATTGAGTAAGAAGAGAAGAGATGGAAAGTGATCTCGGGCTGATAATGATATCCCTTTTCAGTGGCTTTGGTCCCATTTCAAGTAGTAGTTGAGAAAATTGGGACCGCCGTGCTGATGTTACTATCCGGAATTCAAGAAACTCCACTCTGTTTTGATCATTAGTAAATGCCTTAAGAATTTGCCCATATCAAGAAAAGGATCACATCACCAAGTTGAAGTTTTCCATGGATTAGATAGTGACGTGTTCTGCTCCTAATAATGAAGCCTAACTGTGGTCGGATTCCACATCGGATAGGACCCATTATTGAGTTTCCAAAGTTGCAAAATAGCGCAATCTACTAGTAGCCCAGCCTAAAGCCCTGTCTGCACTTGCAATCTCGCAACGAAAGAGAAGGCCAATGTTTAAAAGAGAGAGAGAGAAGAGACCAATAGATATCAAACTTTCATGTGGCTGATATTTATCAAAAAAAGTTGAAAACGAAAGATGAAAATGATGCCATCACAAACGCAGAGTATGTTTAGCCTTCAAGCAGCCAGCTACTCAAACAAGTGCATGACAAGTTGAAAACTATTTACTTTCTGTTTTGATCTCCAGCAGCTAGAGGAGTTATTACCCCACAGTTTAGTGACAAGTCATGCTGTTACCACAAAGAATCTTGCAACTATTTGTTGTTACTCGTCCGAGACTCGATAAGCTGATCTATAAGAGGTACCAGAAAATTACTGGGGGTCCCTGAAATGATGAACATGCATCTTTCGTTTACCGCACAAACTGCAACACCCAGCTGGCAAGGAACTCCTCTCTATTGACTTGTATCTTTTATGATTTTTTCAAGTGCTTCATTTGGGATAGGAATGTACAAGCAATCCTGGCCTTCTGTATCCCGTCTGGTCTTGACCAAATCATGATCCTTAAATTCTGTCAAATGAGAATTCAGAGTAATCTGGCTACTGACCAGGAAGCGCTCCCGGCAGGTTGCGTATAGGTTATTGACTGGCATCCCTAGAGAAAATATTCAGTATAAATAACTTCGATTTTTGTTGCAAAATGCTGTGGAAAAGAAAACAAGTAAGCCAGTCACTTGCCTTCTTCATCAGGATTGGCCAGCTGATGTTCTGCTAGCACTGTAAAAACACTTTGAGCATTGGGCGTCAAACTCTGCAAGACAATTGAAGCTGTCTTGACATTCTGGGAGCTCCCACCCTGAGCAAGAATGAGAGGCAAAAACATTCCTTCGACCTTATATGGAGCAAAGGTAGGAACATGATGCCAATACCAGTTGAACTGCGTGTGAACCATCTTCTTATCCCACACTAGCAGACCAAAATTAGTACTCTCAGCATTTTCAACAGCAAATATAACATAGAAACATGCGAATCATTGATGACAGAGGCCGACTAGCACGTACTGATACAAATGGTCAACAAATGTAAGGTCCTTTTGCGGCTAGCTTAAGCTACTGCTAACTTAAATTAGCAAAATCAGATAAAATACTTACAAAGAAGTGCATTTACATGGTCGATGGAAGCGACCACACGGATATTGGAACAAGCAGCAATTCTTGCAAGATATTGCTGTGTGTCCGGATCACGCAACCCAGGCCCATCAATATTGTGGACAAGAACACAGATAAAAGAATCACTGTCCTCCAGGTGATGTTGATCCAAAAATGCTATTAAATCATCCATTGATCGAGTATCAAATGGTTGTTGGTGCTTATGCAAACTCCCGGATGTAAACTTCTGTTGGGCTTTCAATTGATCGCATAGAAGCTCAGCTAAGGTTATAACAACCTACCATGTGAAATAACAATGTTTGTATCACAAACAAAGACCATTCTACTTTCTATCTGCAGAGAAGACATTTATTGTAGTAAAAGAGAAGAATTGGATCCTGCCTTTTATGGGTGAAAACCCATATATAAAGCATCAATATGAAAATCATGGTAGAAGCACCAGCATGATCAGCCAGAACAGTGTTCGATACCAAGCATTCCTCAAGCTAAAGAATCATATGCTAGCAAAATTAATCTTATTTGACACAAACATAACCATAAAAGTTGTCCAAGTTCAAAGTTACAAACTCGTACATCAGATCAAAGCACTTGTTTGAATCAGGATTAAGGGATCATGCAAAATCAGGTCAGAACCTCAGCAAAGGCAACCACGGCAAGGAGACAAATTAAAGTTTCTGCACTTCGTCTATGTACTCTCTCACAGGAAAAGCTGACTTTTAACTGCCATCCAAACAGCATGATAAACTAGTGCTGATTGTATCACCAATTCAACATCATAGATGCATTAGAAACTACAATCCCCATGACTCAGGCCTCTCAAATATCCATGTAAGACTCATCATTAATACACCCCTATGCTGCCAAAGCCTACCAATACTTCTTATAACATATAACACTCAACAAACTGAATCAGTTCCCAGTGATTACCAAGCACTAAAGTAAATTATACAAGTCTACATTCGGGTAGCGAAAAAAGCAAGCTATGACTTATAAAGCCTATTCATTCTACGGCTTTATCAGCAATGATTAACTTAAAACTCTGAAAATTAGCTGAAACTTCAACAACAATCTTACACTGAAATAGAATACAAAGCATATAGGGGTGGTGAAGTAGATGTACCTGCTTGAGATTTATGGACTGAAGATAACCATTGATTACAACAACAGAATACTCAGTCAATGCAGTCGAAGCAAAATCTTCAAGCAATGTTCTTTTTGATCCAAACCCATACATCAAAAGTCCAAATCCACACCTGTTAATTATCCAGCATAATCTAAAATTAGTACCCAACATTTCTACAATGACAGTCTAAATCAATACTTTCACAAAAATAATTAAAAAACACCACATATATATTTATATCCCACCGCACCTTAACTCACAAACCCACTCTTGATACGAGCTCTTGTAAGTTTTGATTAATTCATCAATTTCTTTCTCATGTTTTTGCTCGATATTGGCCAGGGCTTCCCTTAGCTCCTGCATTATTCAGTAAGGAAAAGGCCCAAAAAGGTAACTCTTTTTGCAGGAAACCACCAACCAAAATTTAGATATAGAAAAATTGCAGAGTATAACCTCTTCATCGACGACATCGATATCTGCGAGCTTGTGGCCGGATTTCTTACCGGAATTGCCTAATTCTTTTGCTAAGAAATAATTTCTAGAGAATCCGAACTCGTCCTCTTCGATGTCATGTTGTTCCATTTTCTGGTTTTGACGAACCTAAACCTGATGATGAGAGGGAAGGAGTAGGGGAACGGGACGGCGGAGGTAGCGAGCAGAGCAGAGTGGCCGAGAGGGGCGGAGGATTCTTCCCGCGCTTTTTAGTTGTCTGTGGACGTGGACAGTGGACTAGTGGAGCGGATATTTTAATTGGGCTGGACGTCGATAGATTTTAGGTCTTTTGTAGGAGGTATTGGCCCTATGTTGCTTTCATTAGGCTTATAATCGTGGATCCATATCAGCCCAAAATTCAGAATGGCCCTCGATCGTCTTCAAGAGGGGTTAAATAATAAATACAAGGGAGGGAGTGTAGCAATTTGTAAAATTGAGTAATTCATGCAGATTTATCTTGAATGGAGTTTATCTATACAAGTAACCTTGGATCTTTCCAAGGAAAAAAACAAAAAAAAAAAGTTACCTTGGGTTATGGTTAACAAGTACTAGTAGTATCTTATCATTTACATCTTTCTTTTTTTTTTTTTTTGGTTTTTGGTTCTTCCAGAGTAAAACGCATATTACTTGCATATGTACACTTTATCCCCTATGGTTTGATTGGATGGAAGGGACCATTGAGTTTGATCCGAGCAATTGATCTCAAAAAAAAAATAATAATGTGCTTTGGGCTGTTGCATTGTTCTACCTTAGGTCGCATTCATGTCAAATAGGTTCGAAATTAATGTGGTAGGAAGGTTGCAGGCATTTGTCAAAGAGCTTTTAATATCCTTACCAGAAAGGGAGTTTGTTTGATAGGACATGAATGAATTATTGAGAACAATCTTCTTTAATTAAAATATATAAACACATGACAAGGACTATTAGGCTGTGTTTTGATTGCATTTTTCGTCATTTTTCATGAAAAAATTACTGTAACGATTTGATATATGTGAGGAAAAAAGGTAATAGGAAAATGTGATCACAAAAAATAATAATATTTTTCGACGAAAACAAGCAATCCAAGCATGGCCTTAGTATTTATTCTTAACAGTCTTTGAAAAGAAAAGTCCAAAATAACAAAGTGGACTGGCATCGAGCGAAAATCTGTTGGCTGTCCTGCTTCTTATCCCGTCGAGCTCCTCTTCTCTTATATTAACAAAAGAAAGAAAAACAAATGCTCTCGAGGAGTTGGCAACTTCAATTGTTTGCTGAAATTCATCCATAAGGGAAATGGTGGTTGACCAACCATTGAACGAACAGTCCCTCCAGCAACTAAGTAATTGACCACAGGGAAGAACTTTAAATCTCTCCTTCGATACAGGTCAAGAAATTGAATCTCTCGATCTACATTTTTGTCAGTAATTTTTTTGAAATTTTCATCAGCTAAT